GAAGAGTTTCTGGGTGAAAAGTCTGTGCAATAAGAGTTTCTGGGTGAAGAGTCTCTGGGTTAAAAGTATATGGGTGAAAAGTATGTGCAAGAAGAGTTTCTGGGTGAAGAGTCCCTGGGTGAAAAGTATATGAGTGAAAAGTGTGTGCACGAAGAGTTTCTTGGTGAAGAGTCTATGGGTGAAAAGTATATGGGTGAAAAGTATGTGCAAGAAGAGTTTCTGGGTGAAGAGTCTCTCGATGAAAAGTATATGGGTGAAAAGTATGTGCAAGAAGAGTTTCTGGATGAAAAGTATTTATAAGAAGAGTTTCTGGGTGAAGAGTCTCTGGGTGAAAATATGTGGGTGAAAAGTATTTATAAGAAGAGTTTCTGGGTGAAGAGTCTCTGGGTGAAAAGTATATGGGTGAAAAGTATGTGCGAGAAGAGTTTCTTGGTGAAGAGTCTATTGGTGAAAAGTAAATGGGTGAAAAGTATGTGCAAGAAGAGTTTCTGGGTGAAGCGTCTCTGGGTTAAAAGTAAACGGGTGAAAAGTATGTGCAAGAAGAGTTTCTGGGTGAAGAGTCTCTGGGTAAAAAGTCTATGGGTGAAAAGTATGTGCAAGAAGAATTTCTGGGTGAAGAGTCTCTGGGAGAAAAGTATGTGCAAGAAGGGTTTCTGGGTGAAGAGTCTCTGGGTGAAAGGTATATGGCTGAAAAGTATGTGCAAGAAGAGTTTCTGGGTGAAGAGTCTCTGGGTGAAAACCATGTACAAGAAGAGTTTCTGCATGAAGAGTCCCTGGAATAAAAAACGTATATGGGTGAAAAGTATGTGCAAGAAGAGTTTCTGGGTGAAGAGTCTCTGGGTGAAAAGTATATTGGTGAAAAGTATGTGCAAGAAGAGTTTCTGGGTGAAGAGTGTCTGGGTGAAAAGTATATGGGTGAGAAGTATGTGCAAGAAGAGTTTCTGGGTGAAGAGTCTCTGGGTGAAAAGTATATGGGTGAAAAGTATGTGCAAGAAAAGTTTCTGGGTGAAGAGTCTCTGGGTGAAAAGCATGTGCAAGAAGAGTTTCTGGGTGAAAAGTATGTGCAAGAAGAGTTTCTGGGTGAAGCGTCTCTGAGTGAAAAGTATGTGCAAGAAGAGTTTCTGGGTGAAGAGTCTCTGGATGAAAAGTATATGGGTGAAAAGTATGTGCAAGAAGAGTTTCTGGGTGAAAAGTCTGTGCAAGAAGAGTTTCTGAGTGAAGAGTCTCTGGGTGAAAAGTATATGGGTGAAAAGTATGTGCAAGAAGAGTTTCTGGGTGAAGAGTCTCTGGGTGAAAATATGTGGGTGAAAAGTATTTATAAGAAGAGTTTCTGGGTGAAGAGTCTCTGGGTTAAAAGTATATGGGTGAAAAGTATGTGCAAGAAGAGTCTCTGGGTGAAGAGCCTCTGGGTGAAAAGTATATTGGTGAAAAGTATGTGCAAGAAGGGTTGTCACCCTGGGTGAAAAGTATGTGGGTGAAAAGTATGTGCGAGAAGAGTTTCTGGTTGAAGAGTCTCTGGGTGAAAGGTATATGGGTGAAAAGTATGTGCAAGAAGAGTTGCTGGGTGAAGAGTCTTTGGGTGAAAACGATGTAGAAGAAGAGTTTCTGGATGAAGAGCCTCTGGATGAAAAGTATATGGGTGAAAAGTATGTGCAAGAAGAGTTTCTTGGTGAAGAGTCAATTGTTGAAAAGTATATGGGTGAAAAGTATGTGCAAGAAGAGTTTCTGGGTGAAGAGTCTCTGGGTTAAAAGTAAATGGGTGAAAAGTATGTGCAAGAAGAGTTTCTGGGTGAAGAGTCTCTGGGTACAAAGTCTATGGGCGAAAAGCATGTGCAAGAAGAATTTCTGGGTGAAGAGTCCCTGGGTGAAAAGTATATGGGTGAAAAGCATGTGCAAGAAGAGTTTCTGGGTGAAAAGTATGTGCAAGAATGGTTTCTGGGTGAAGAGTCTCTGGGTGAAAAGTATATGGGTGAAAAGTATGTGCAAGAAGAATTTCTTGGTGAAGAGACTATTGGTGAAAGGTATATGGGTGAAAAGTATGTGCAAGAAGAGTTTCTGGGTGAAGAGTCTCTGGGTTAAAAGTATATGGGTGAAAAGCATGTGCAAGAAGAGTTTCTGGGTGCAAAGTATGTGCAAGAATGGTTTCTGGGTGAAGAGTCTGTGGGTGAAAAGTATATGGGTGAAAAGTATGTGCAAGAAGAGTTTCTGGGTGAAGAGTCTCTGGGTTAAAAGTATATGGGTGAAAAGTATGTGCGAGAAGAGTTTCTGGGTGAAGAGTCCCTGGGTGAAAAGTATGTGCAAGATTTTTTTCTGGGTGAAGAGTCTCTGGGTAAAAAGTCTATGGGTGAAAAGTATGTGCAAGAAGAGTTTCTGGGTGAAGAGTCTCTGGATGAAAACTATGTACAAGAAGAGTTTCTGGATGAAGAGTCCCTGGATGAAAAGTATATGGGTGAAAGGTATATGGGTGAAAAGTATGTGCAAGAAGAGTTTCTGGATGAAAAGTATTTATAAGAAGAGTTTCTGGGTGAAGAGTCTCTGGGTGAAAATATGTGGGTGAAAAGTATTTATAAGAAGAGTTTCTGGGTGAAGAGTCTCTGGGTGAAAAGTATGTGCAAGAAGAGTTTCTGGGTGAAGAGTCTCTGGGTGAAAAGTATATGGGTGAAAAGTATGTGCAAGAAGAGTTTCTGGGTGAAGAGTCTCTGGGTGAAAAGTATACGGGTGAAAAGCATGTGCAAGAAGAGTTTCTGGGTGAAAAGTATGTGCAGAATGGTTTCTGGGTGAAGAGTCTGTGGGGGTGAAAAGTATGTGCAAGAAGAGTTTCTGGGTGAAGTCTCTGGGTGAAGTATATGTGCAAGAAGAGTTTCTGGGTGAAAAGTATATGGGTGAAAAGTATGTGCAAGAAGAGTTTCTGGGTGAAAAGTATATGGGTGAAAAGTATGTGCAGAAAGGGTTTCTGGGTGAAGAGCCTCTGGGTGCAAAGTATATGGGTGAAAAGTATGTGCAAGAAGAGTTTCTGGGTGAAGAGTCTATGGGTGAAAAGTATGTGCAAGAAGAGTTTCTGGGTGAAAAGTCTGTGCAATAAGGTTTCTGGGTGAAGGTCTCTGGATGAAAAGTATATGGGTGAAAAGTATGTGCAAGAAGGTTTTCTGGGTGAAGAGTCTCTGGGTGAAAAATATTGGGGAACATAGGGATAGATGGGATGCTGGCTTTCGTTCCCCCCTTCTCAGGTTATGAATATGTAATTAAGCATATTTATTTACATCGGATTTTAGATGATCATAATATGACTTAACACAGAATTTCTTTTGCTTTGTCTCTTTAGGATCCTGTAGAATCCTTTAGGGTTCAGGGGTGAAAGGAGTGGAAGAGCTGCAGGAATTCTCGGCCTTGGTCCTAGACGAGCGCGGAAACCAAGCATGAAATATCTTTGATGACGGATGTTCCATCGTCTAGAATATATCTATAGATATATAATATTGTATATAATACATTTGAACATCCAGTGTTGCTATTTGGGCATAGCTTGCTTTCGAAGGAGTTCTGCAAAGTGGTTGTGGCTCTTTTCACCGTGTGGGCCGTGACTGCGTTGGTTCTTTTGGAGGTGCCCAATTTGTGTCTCCGTAGCTTCCTTTCAAGACGGACCTGCAGCTGCATCTGCATTCTGCGGTACCACTCACCTTGACACGAAACCCTGGCCAGCCTGATCAACAGCCAAATCTCATGTTGCGCAAGAGCAAGTCTGTGATAAACCGCAAGAGCAAGATCTACGGCGATTTTGGACGATTTTGGACCTAGCTTGCTTTTGAAGATTTTGAAGGGTCCGTAATAGCCATGTTGACTTGGTTGTTTTGGACGTGATGCCCATTTTGTGTCTTGGTGGCTTCCTCTCAAGACGGACCTGTGCCGCATCTGCATTCTGCGGTGCCACTCACCTTGACATGAAACCCTGGGTAGCCAAGCGCATTGAGAATAAAGCAGGCAAATCTCATGTTGCGCAAATCTCTTATTCGATTTTTGTCCTGTTTTTTCTCGCCTTTTTTTCTTTTTCGGGGTGATGTTCATCCGCAGTCGGCTCGCTGCCAGGCGACTCGTGGAGCTGCCAAATTGGATAGCGAGGCGAGTGGAGCTGGAGAATTCCATCGGGTTTGGATTTGTTTTTTTTTCAAATTGAGGCAAAAAAATCTAAAGAGTGACTGGGGTTGGACTTGAAGATTTGAAGATTTGGTGGATTTTCGGAACTCGGAATTTCGATGTCGACATGTTGGGATCTAAAAACATTTCGGAAGCTCTGAAGACTTGGGTCGCCAGGTGCAGGAGTAGCAGGATGTAGCAGCAATTCAAACCCAACACCTTTGGTTTCTTTTTGAATGTCTTTTTAATGTATATATTTTTGTCGTTGAGTACGTGGAATTTCTCCTTGAAGATACATTCTCCAGTGCTGGAATGAAATATATTCGGAGATTCAGAGATTTCTTTCCCAGTCCCACTTTGTGAGCAACCGAATTTTGGAGCTTGGGGATTTCCAGTCTTCCATTGGTGTAATACGTCTGGGACTTGATGCAGGATTTCGCTGCGGTCCTGGAAGAGCTGGGAAACCAAGCATATTGAAGCTTTCAGATTTGGACCGATGGTGCGTTGAAATAGATCGAATCTGAAAAGATCTACGGCGATTTTGAACGATTTTGGACCTAGCTTGCCTTTGAACATTTTGAAGGATCCGTGTTGGCCATGTTGACTTGGTTGTTTTGGACGTGTTGCCCATTTTGTGTCTTGGTGGCTTCCTCTCAAGACGGACCTGTACCGCATCTGCATTCTGCGGTGCCACTTACCTTGACATGAAACCCTGGGCAGCCAAACGCATTGAGAATAAAGCAGGCAAATCTCATGTTGCGCAAAAGAAAGTCAATGATAAATGATAAATAAACCATCGACAAATCTGTGTATTGTTACAGACTGCACTTAATTCGTGCCGCTGGACAGCGCAAAGGATTCGCTGCCTCATGTCGGTCTCTGTGGATATTCCTGGACATGGTCACTTTGATATCAAACTGACTGCTTCGAGCACCGCTGCTGACATTATTTTATTGCTACGTGAGCGTTTGCCAGACAGCCCATGGCATGGGAACAAGTTGCTGTCAAGTGGGGTCTGCCAGCTACAGTGCGATGACATTGTGGAGGCAACCCGCCACAGCACTTTAGTCTTGACAAACTACTCAGAGATCACCAGCCAGGAGAGAAACCTGCAGCTTTGTTTCTTTTTCAATAGGTAATGCAGACCATGCCAAGTAGCAAATCACGATTAGAAACTAAATGCCAACAAGTACCAATTGCGACAAGTGCAGCAGTGTGATGGACCGATTCATTTTTTGTTTTGGGATTCAGTGGCTTAAACGCATTTTGAACGTGGCTTGTGAGATCTACTTGATAGTGGGGGAACAGTCGGCCACTGAACAGGCGCCTTTGTGCATTGAGACCATGTGAAAGAAAGGCAATATTATCAATAGGATCAAATAGAACAAAGAGAAAAGAGAAGCCGTATTTAAAAGTCAATCGTTTGAAATTCAGAGATTGCAGGCCCATGATTCCCATGATTGAACCTTTTGAGGGTACTGCACAATGCTTTTTGAATTCCATTCCAATTTCATTTGCTGCATTTGTTGGTGGACCTGTCGAAGGAGCCTTTCTGCATCGAAGATACTGCAGAGCGAGGGATCACTCGCGAACAATTGGCAAAGATCGTTGCTTTCATCTCCAAAATGGCTGACAGATGGTGCGAGACTTTCGGAGAACAGCGTGGGACAAGGCTGCAGTTTGAGACCTTCAACCTGTATGATGCGAATCACTGGATCATCAAACCAGCCACCGAAGCCTGGATTTGTTGATGATGTGACAAAACATTTTCCAATTTGTGGAATCTCCTGTTTTTCTTTTTTTAATTGGCCCCATTATGCAGAATCCCAGGACGGCTATGCGAAAAAGGGCTGCAGCATGGTAGAGCTCATGGCGATTCAAGTGCAGAGACCTCACTGGTTTGTGTCACATGCTTGGATCGAGCCTTGGATAGGCAAACTCTGGAGGTTGTTTGAGACCGTGCTATTGCATTGTCTGTCGGCAACAAGTTACTTTTTCTGCTAATAATTCACATTCCCCTAGAAGCCTTGGTTGAGTTTTGGACTTGTTCATTTCGGACCCTCAATAGGATGCTGTATCAAAAAGAAATGAACATTCAGCGTAATGATAGATGAAAGTCAATCTATTGCTTTGAAGCACGTCCACTTTTGTGTTGGGCAGATCTGTGAGGAGCCTGTTTGTAAGTTTCTGGCCTGCTTGGAGCAGCATGCTCTGGTGCGAGAACTCTCAAGCAGTACAGTCTATTGGGTCTGTGCATATGCCAACAACCAGCACTGCGTGGAAGAGGATATCAAAAGCAACCCACGCAGCACTTCATTCTACAGAGCTATGCAGATGTCTGAGGGAGTTCTTTTGGTGCTGGATTCAGCTGGAACGCCTTTCGAGTTGATGCGGCAGTTCAGGCTGCTGCCAAACCTGGAATCGTTTCCTTGAGTGCTTGGGCTCGTGAAGTCCAAGATGCCATTGCATGGAGTAGTTTTGCGCTTGCAAGACAGAAACAAGCTTTGCTCGACTTGCGGAGTCATGTCGAGCCATCAGCCTCTGGCTAGCTGACTCGTCGAGTTCCTTAGAAATCTCTCGCGCTCTGGCGCCCCGAAAGCTGCCTCCAGCCACTCACCCCGGTGGGCCCAGGCTGTGGCAGCGTTACAATTGCCCAACAACAACAACAATGGAACGCCTTTGGCGAGCCGTGGCTTGGGCTGCAGCAGTTTGGCGTCTGCAGAGGCTACGGACTTTACCTTTTTGGCAAGTCGTACTTGATCAACAAACATTCCTTGCGGAATGCTAGCTGGCGCACTGTGTTTACTTCTTTTTTATTTCAGGCAGGTTTCGCTTCCTTTGAGTTTTGCTTGGAGAAGTATGGGAACTTGATTCTCGCAGATGGCATACTATGGCGTCTTAACTACTTCACTTCGGTGAGGAGCAGGTTGACGTCCGCTTACAACAACAACAACAACAACAACGGAACGCCTTTCGAAAGGATTTGGTGCTGCTTCGAGGAAGCCATTGCCCCAGCCTTAGAAATTCCTAGAAGTGCGAGAAAGCATCATAGAACGAGAAAAATGTGACATGAACGTGAGTTTTTTTCGTTTGTGAGTTCTGCCTGAAGGGACACGTTTTGATTTGTCCAGCTAGCAGCTAGCTTGTTTCAGTGCAAAATGCGAAACACAACCAAACAGCATGATCGCTTGGTTGATTTGCATACATGTGAATGGGGGATAACGAGCAGGAGCAACACCAGGTCATGTTCGTAAAGGCAGGCAATGCTTCAGTAGATAGTGCATCGAAGGAGACACTGGTGTAAACAATTCCGGTATTTTCACCAGAAAAGCGACCAAGGCGATCGAACATCGCGAGGGCAACTGGTCCAGACGACGTTTACTGCTTGATGTGGGAGCCACTGATGCATATGACAAAGCTACTCGACACAGAAGTGGTGGCCTTGTGTGGACATTTCCTTTGCGTGGTCTGCTCGAAAGGTTGAGACCATCGCCTTTACCGTAACCCCCATTTCTGCACCATGGTGAACCTTTTCGCATCACCTTACTGTAAGCCTCCCTGTCCATATATCGTTACAAAGAGGTGATAAGTGAAAAGTGATGTTTTGACCGTTCCAAATTTGTTGATCTCTGAGGCTCACGTGCTTACTGATGGACTTGCCGGAGCGGAAAGTCGAATGATTGGCATCATCGGCTTGCACCACAAAGCAGCTCGTGAGCGTCACTTTCCTCTGGACCTTTTGGAAAAGGGCTTGAAGGTCAAAATCGAAGAAACTTGGTGCAGGATTGCAAGAAACTTTTGCTGTTTTGATGTTGTGTGGAGAAGCGAATTTATGTATTTGGACAATCCATTGAATACCCATGGTTCATTGTTTTCATGTCACAGTATGATATTTTATTCCAAGTTTCCTCTTTTTCCACAAAGTGAGCTGCATATTAGAAATGTGAATGTTCAACCGCTCAAGGAAGCTCATGCCACGCAGAACATCGACAAAGTGCGAATTCTGAACAGCATTGCCTTTTCTCGTCTTGGAACTTGCGACTTTGAGCTTTTGCAGTCGTATCCAACGGGGGATCCCAATTTCCAGCGAGTAGATGAAGCTCTTGCTTCGCACTTCGCTTTATGCAGCTGGTACGGATTTGTCCTTCAAGGAAGATGCACTGAACTCCTGGCCACAGCTGTAAAGGCAGACGTTGGTAGAAAGATAGTGCAGCTTTCACTGACTGGATGCCGGATTTTCTCTGACCATGAGCTCAATGTGCTGATCCAAAGCCTTCCTGCAGAGTTGCGCGTTTTGCGATTAGATCTGGGATTCTCGGGTCTTGAGACTCTGGACATGTTTACATCTTCGGTGCAGTGTTTGAAGTCTTTGGTCCAGTTGAATTTGCGCTTCACAGGTTCCGCACACTTCAGGACTGCGGCAGGGCTTGGAGTTGCCATGAGAGAAATGGAGAACCTCATGTACTTGGAGCTATGGTGCGCTGAGTTGTGAATTTCCAGTCACATTTTTCTTCATCTTGAACCAGCAAAACATATGATTTTCAGCTTATTGTTTGCTGCGCTTTCTTTTTGATTCCATGGGTATGATATTGTTATTTTGATTTTTCTCAGCTGCCACGGTCCAGTGGCTGCAGGTTCATGAACTTGCCATGTTTGGAAGAATTCGGATGCTTCAGTTCTGCTTTGCAGTCTTCGCGAAACCTGGAGAGTATAGTTATTGATCTCAGTGGATGTGGCCAGGTGTCGATTGATGCGAGGATGGAACTTCACCAATCCATTAAGTCACTGAAATGGTTGCGAAGCAGCTTGGACACGTGGGTGAATATTGAAGGTTTGCCAAAGCGACGCTGGTTCCCTGGATTTGCTCATGTTGATTTTGGCGGTGTCATCAAAGGGCGTTGCGCCCGGAGCTTCCGTTTCATCTGGCAACGGATGCGACAACTCAGTGCCCGCCAGCTGCCACACGTCAGCTCAGTGTACTTTGAACCAACCAGGTTTGGCAGGTCGATTGCAACAAGCAGTGATGAATCAGCTGTTGAAGATGCAGAGACAGAGAGTCATAGCAGTCAACACGAGATGTTGGATGAAACCAAACCGTTCCCATGCAGCCGTCCTTTGTGCAATTCTTTTCATTCTTCTGAGAGCGGCTATTGCGAAAAGCACCGCTGGTCGGGCCTTTTCAAGAGGATTTGTGTTGTAGGAAATGCTTGGCGTCAGAATGTGGAGCTTAGTGTGCTGATTCTTGCACAAGCAGTGGCAGAGGTAGAGAGCCGATTTTTGTTGGTTCTTCTGGTTCTCAGCCTGTTGCCCGTTGCAAGTTATAGCTTTTCTCAGTCAACAGGAGTGTCTGGCACTCTGATTGTTTTGATTGTTCTCTCCATTGCAATTGTCAGCGTTGTTTACACCACAGCTCGGCTTAACCAAATGCAAGCACTGTCAAAGAAGCTCGAGGTCGAATCGGAAGCTTTGTATGCAAAGAATTTGCAGAATGACATGTCCAGGCTTTTTGGTGATTGGGGTAGAGCCGATTTTGCCCAGCCTCACATCACAAGCTTGACGGAACATTTCCTCGAAGCCAAGAAACATCTTGACGACTTTGACAAACATCTGTGCCTCCCACTGCGGGAGTTCTTGGAGGAGCAGCCTGGTTCCATATCTCGGCAAGATTTGCGACCTGTGTTGATGACACTGCCAATGGCACAAGAGAGTTTCGTGCGAGAAGGTGAACCCAGCCGCATCTTAGATCTCTTGTATTGCGATGTACTCTTCGATGATTGGGAAAGAATGCTCAGTGCATGGTGCTTTCTCAAAACCAGAGCAGAGCATGATGAGTTGCGAGAAATCAAGATCGTGCGTACTCGCGATTCTTTTGCTTCAGTCCAAGCTGGTGTCAGATGTGCCGAGATGGTGGTCAAGATCAACCACTATTTAGCCACGATCCGTTTCCGTGAAGCCTCTTTGACAAAGCTGGAGAATCAAGTGGATGATGTGCACCACTTGGCAGAACAGGTGGGACTTCTGGCAGGCAGTTTGCAGGTAGATCCTTTGCTTATGTCTGGGCGACCATCACAGCAATCACGATTGGTGGTCGTTGTTGTTGCTTTTCTTCGGATCAGCTCATTACTTGCAGCAGTGTACCTTGGGGGGCAGTACTTTGTGCGGTACAGCCCACCCTTCATCCGTTCAAACCTTCCACAATTGATCCGAGATGCTTTTGCTCTCAAGCAGACAAGTGAGTCCAGTGATGGGAGATTGCCGGAGGCTGTCGCTGCTGATTCTGGATGGTTGGAGAAGAGCCTTTCGCAGCTGTTGCCTTCCATTGTTTTCTCTTTGCCGTACCTGGCCTTGATCATTGTCCTCCTGAGCGACTTGCGCCGGTGTAGGTCAGCCAATATCAAGTTGAGACCGTTGAAACCCACCCAGCTGCTCTACGAGGAGTATTTTGGCATTGAAGGCAAGCTCTTCGGCTTCAAAGTTGCAATGCTGCAGTTATTCACAGTGATGCTGCAGGCCTTTGGAAAGCTCCAAATCATGGGTGGCCTTGTGTCATTTGCATTCCATTCAGCTCCGAAGCATTCAGATGCGTTTGAAGGATGTTTTTGGGCTTTTGTGGGATTCCTCTGTTTGAACAGCATCTATCCAACCATTTTGTTGGCCTTCCCCTCGGTGAAGTGGGTGCGCCGGGGTGCTGCGATGATGGATGCGGTTCTTGATATTGCTTACACCAGCACATACCTCATCATCACCGTGCTGGCCATCCACGAACTGCAGCTGGACCAAGCCATTTCAGGAAATTTCGGGGATGAGGCTTCGGTGAACTTCCAAGCAGAATTGGACCCGGCATTTGCGTTCCCAGCCGACTTTTTTGGTTTCTTTGCTGTTTACTATTCACTTGCACATGTTTGCACTGTTTGCCGTGCCTTAGAGCGAAGCGGTCGATCGACCTACTGGAAGAAGTTGCAAAGCTTACCGAACTCTGCTTCCCAGTCACTGCTGAGCCCATCGAGATTTTCTTGCTCAAAGAGATATCGGATTTGTTCCAAAGCCTTGCATTTTTGCTGCGTTGGTTTCGTTTTATGTTGTCTCTGCAATTTTCAATCCATCGTGGTTTCGCAACCTGTTGACACAGTTTGTCATGTGAGTATCTCGAAGCCCCTCAACATATTTGTACAGAGGAGGCGTCTTGTTGTTCTCAGCTTTATTGTACTTGCTGCACCTTTTGTGCATCCCAAAGCATACTAATATATACAATCTGATACACCACTTCTTAAGCTGTTGTTCCCCAGCATCAACAGCCAAGGAGGTTCCATGGGGTTCCAGGGCTTTTGAAAGGTTTTTCAGCACGCTTCAGGGTTCCCACTTAGGAGTTTCACAGGTCCAGGATTCCGAGGTGCATTCCAAGCACTTCAGGAGTTCCAGCAAAGGTACTCGCGAAGTAAAAATTGGATACCTATGATACCTGTGTCTTCAATATCAATCCCCCTGAGATTGGGTTTCTGTTTCATGGCGTGAGTTTGTGCTTTGCGGGAATGCCCCCCCCCTTTCATACCATTGGGCTTTGATGGATGAACTCGAGTTCTTCGTTTCTCCTTGCAACCGCTGCTTAGGTATTCGCCCTGTTTGCTGGTCACGATCATTGCTCTATTGCTTTCAACGCACTTCTACCCGGTTCACAAGGATGATTTCGGATGCTTTCCGTGTCGCTGTCAGGAAAAGGACGATGGTGCAAAGCACCTCGCGAACTGCCACCTTGTAGGCGTTCTTCGCCTCAAAGATGTGAGTTTGAACAAGCAAAGCATCACAAGTATTGCGGAGGATGCCTTCACCTCTTCAAGGGGCTTGCAACGGTTGTCGCTCTCTGCGAATAGGTTGCCTGTTCTGCCCAAGAAGGTCTTTGCTCCTTTGGACAGCTTGCAACTTTTGGACTTGGGCAGCTTGGGTTTGCAACAGGTGGAGTCAGACACGTTCAGCGGCTTGTCAAACTTGAGAATCTTGTCGCTAAGCGGAAATCGTTTGAGGGAGCTGCCCGAAGACTTGCTGCGCCCCTTGCCACCTCTGCAGCAATTGTTGTTGGGGGTCAAATATGACAAGGGGGGCAGCTCCATTGTTAAAGGAAACGAGCTGAGCGTCCTTCCACAAAAGCTTTTCCAGAGCAGCCTGCGGCTTCGAGTTCTCGATCTCAGCGAAAACAAGTTGACCTCGCTGCCAAAGGACATCTTTAATCAAACTCCTTTGCTGCGGAGCCTCAACCTTGGAAGAAACAAACTCAACACGTTGCCACGTGACATCTTTTCACGGCTCAGCAACTTGCAGAAGCTTGACCTGGGTACCAACAAGCTTAATGAGTTGCCCATCGAAGTCTGGGCCAAACTGTTTGCAGGGCTCAGCAAGTTGCAGGAGCTGAACCTGAGTTGGATCAGGCTCAGCGAGTTGCCTGCTGAAGTCTTTTCAGGGCTCAGCAGCTTGCAGGAGCTTAACCTGTATAGAAACTATCTTGGTCAGTTGCATGCTGATGTCTGGGCCAATCTGTTTGCAGGGCTCGGCAACCTGCGGAAGCTCAACCTGGGCAGCAACCGTCTCAGTCAGTTGCATGCTGATGTCTGGGCCAATATGTTTGCAGGGCTCAGCAACTTGCAACATCTCGATCTGGGTCTCAACCAACTGAGTAGGCTGCCTGCTGAAGTCTGGGCCAATCTCTTTGCAGGGCTCAGCAACTTGCAACATCTTGGTCTGGGTGGCAACAAACTGAGTATGCTGCCTGCCGAAGTCTGGGCCAATATGTTTGCAGATCTCGGCAACTTGCAGGAGCTTGAATTGTGGGGAAACGAGCTTAATGAGTTGCCTGCTGAAGTCTGGGCCAATCTGTTTTCACGGCTCAGCAACTTGCAAAATCTCGATCTGGGTCTCAACCAACTGAGTGGGCTGCCTTCTGAAGTCTGGGCCAATATGTTTGCAGGGCTCAGCAATTTGCAGGAGCTTGAATTGTCTCGAAACGAGCTTAATGAGTTGCCTGCTGAAGTCTGGGCCAATCTGTTTTCACGGCTCAGCAACTTGCAACATCTCAATCTGGGTGCCAACAAACTGAGTAAGCTGCCTTCTGAAGTCTGGGCCAATATGTTTGCAGGGCTCAGCAATTTGCAGGAGCTTGAATTGTGGGGAAACGAGCTTAATGAGTTGCCCACCGAAGTCTGGGCCAAACTGTTTGCAGCGCTCAGCAGCTTGCAGGAGCTGGACCTGAGTTTGAATGCACTCAGAGAGTTGCCTTCTGAAGTCTTTTCCGGGCTCAACCACTTGCAGGAGCTGGACCTGAGTTGGAACAAGCTCAGCGAGTTGCCTGCCGAACTTTGGAATACAATTTTTTCAGCACTCGGCAACTTGCAGGTGCTTAATTTGCGCAGAAACAATCTCAAGGAGTTGCCCGCAATTTGTTCAAGTGTCAGTGTAGACTGCCTAAACTGAGATATCCGGCTAGGCCGATGAGGAATGACCTGCCTGTTTGAAAATGATGGGTCGAGCTGCCTGAGTGGTGATAGGTTTGACTTCTGGGTATGCTCTTTCCACCATGTGGCCATGTGGGTGCAGGGTTTCAGGGCCAGGGATCCACCGACAGAGATGGTCAACCTTCAACCACCTCCGAGGTTTCAGCTGGTCTCAAAACACCATGTCTGAAACCGGGAGCAGCTGAATTCCATTCGAAGTCAACAAAATCATCAATATTTTATCATGTTTCTGTTCTATCCAGTTTTCTGTCCTGCTCGTCTGATTTTCTTAATTGGATATTGGACTTGATATTGGACTTGATATTGGACTTGATTGTCTGGCTGGCCTCTACCTGAAGACTCCTTATTACACGTGGTAAGGTTCAATATGGACCTCCGGCAAGAAACCATTGAGTCTGCTAGGGGCGGAACAGAACTTGTTTGTTCTGAAACTGGAAGGAAGCTGCTGAGGGAGGTGTAACAAAGTTCCATGTTGCCAAACAGAAGTCCCGATTCGGACCCTTCTGGCAGCTATTTTTTTGGTTGAAAGGTGTGCCCCTTCATTGACAGATTCTTGGAATTTCTGCTCCCTTCAACGACTGAAACCTGTTTTTGCATGTTTTTGCAACGCTCTTCGTGTCCAGCTGTGTTTCGAGTTCTCAGTCGTGGCAAGACGCTCTTGGTGCTCAGGACGCGCTGCGACACTCACACTACGCAGGGCTGACCAGGCGCAAAAGAGTTCGGGCGGGACAATTTTCCGTGGATGAATTTGTCTTGTTTCATGCATGGAAGAAACACCACTTGAATCCAGAATCTCCTAATATGAAATAGTGGATTTACCCGTTAAAAATGGTGATCTTTCCATAGTTATGTAAACATTTGCCAGAGGGTAACTGATGAAATACAACCAATTGTTTGTTCGTGGCTTGGTGCACTTCATTGGACGATGGGCCGCCTGCTGTGACATGACATATGATCCACATCTTCGGCAACAGGAACAATTGTGAAAATCGATCCGGCAATTGATCCACATCACAAAGCATAGAACATTGCGAAAGGAAATATTGTAGGGAGGCATTGCGGATTTTTTTCCGTTGGATCGTTTAGTTTAGTAGAGAAGGGCCGTATAAGTGAGTTTGGGTGGGCCTATAGCTTTGCACTAAAATCCCTACAGGTGATCATAGCACGGAATGCGAATGGGGTTCCGATATTTTGATCATTGGCTGCGCACCCAAGAATCAATGCTCGGGGATACTGCCTTCGATATCAAGATATCATATTTTCATCCGCGTTAAAATTTCAGCTACAGATTGAAGGGCCCTGGGCTAACAACCTAATGCATTTTATCAGTGAAACAGGGTTTTAAAAATGCACCCAGGGCCACCATTTTGTAGCAAAGTAGTTTTTTTAAGGCTGTGTGTGGGCTTATATGGTGAGGCCGTGAATCCATTTTGTAGCTGCTCTTGTTTGGATAACACATGATAACATAAAAAACCCAAACCATTTTGTAGCAACTTGCTAATTGACCCGGAAAACATTTTGTAGTTTTTTGGTTGGCAATCAAGAAGAAGAACATGTGGGAGCGGCCCTCATGTGGCTACAAAATGAAATCCCTCCACTGGATCTGTAGAAGGATGTAATAGCTACAAAATGACCTGCAACAAAGCAAGAAGTAACATGTTGGATGTTGAAGTTAGAAATAAAGTCCTTGGGCATGACATTTTGTAGCAAACCTATGTTGATGCCCCTGGACCCTGGGTTTTCATTTTGTAGTTGGGTGTTTTTGATGGTGGTTGTTCATTTTGTAGCAAACCAGGGTAAGGCCCGAGGTTTGTACTAATAAAATGAGGGGTCACGGGGGTTCCCCGGATATTTCAACCCGGATATATTTTCATTGATATCCATCAATAATATACATTGACATAATAAAATTTAATAAAAAGATACATCATATGTCTGGTTGAACTCACCATGGTTCACTGCAGTCCTTTTTTTAGAATTGCCCTGGTGCGGTTCATGGGTTCATGACCGCCCCTGGGCACCTGGTTTTCCCGGCAGGTACATGGCCCAGAAAGAAATCGTTGATTTATCCATTAGACATAAGGTGATTCTCCAGTTGGTTATGTAAACGTTTACCAGAGGGTAGTTGATTTTATATTTTAAGAACCATAAATGGGGATATTGTGTTCAGTATCAACTGATTATATCATATGTTTGGTTGAACTCACCATGATTCACCGCAGTCTTCTCAGAATCGCCCTGGGTTGCGCAGTTTGTGGGCACCTGGGTACCTGGTTTTTCCCGGCAGGTCACGTCACCTATTCGGGTTCTCCACGTGGCGTGGAAAGGACGCCAGGCCGGAGAGACGATGCGCGAGAGTCGTAATGAGGACATGACCAGGGGCTTTAGGGTTGAGATGGGTTTACACGAGTTGATTTTTATACCATGAGTTGACATTGAGATGGGTTGACATGAGTTGACACAAGTTGATTTTATATCATCATGAATCATGAAAACAGTGAGATTGTGATGGATTGTGGCTTTTCAGTGGCAGCATATGTTGGAAACATTTAGAAGATTCATTGATCTTTTAATACCATTTTATCCTACTGTATACGATATGGTCGACTGAGTGTGGAAAGGCCAGCTGCACGAAGCGAGACAAAATACGCTTTGCGCTTTCCGTTGAATATCGGTATTGTCCAAGCTGTAGGGATCTCTCAAATTGTCAAAAAAATCCCGGAAATTTCAGCTCCAGGTCCTCAGATGGATTTCATGTGTTTTCCTGGATGAAAAACACATCCCAAGCGGGTTCGGAAACAGGCGAACCATGGAGCTGCCACGTTGGACAGCGAGGCAGGAAGTGGAGCTGGAGCCGATAGATTCATATCTGGCGTCAAGGGAGACATTTCCGCGGAGCTTTCGGATTTCCGTTTTTTTTTTTGATTTGAGGCCTTCAAATATGTTGAATAAATTTGAATAACAAGTGATTGGAATACTTCCAACCCATCTACCCTTCTGTGCAACCTTTGCAGTTGACGTTCCTGTAGGGTTTTCATTGCCAGGTTTGCTTGCGGGCAAAGAAGTTCAAAGTTCATCAAAGTTTACCTTTTCACAGTTTGGTTTGAGTCGTGACACCACTTGTCCGTTGGCCTTCACTTGGCGTCTCAACCTTGTCCGATAACCCTGCGCCAACTCTGTTGTCCTAAGGAGAAATTCTCAAATGTTTCCTCCCTTTAAGATCCTTTAGGGTTCGGCAAAACGAAGTCATCTTGGTGCAGAGTTCAGAGTCTTCGAGCTGGGTGATTTTCAAAATTTTCAGTGCAGCTTTGACAGCTGCAGGACTTCCCCTGAGGTCCTGGAAGAGCGCGGAAACCAAGCTTTGCATCATCATTGGTCATCATCTAATATGTACCGTACTATACTTGAGCCTAGCTTGATTTGAAGGAATTCCAAGAAGTGGTTGTCGTTGTTTTCCTTGACCGTATTGACGATGTGAACCATGTTGACGGTTGTCTTGGACGTGTTGTGTTGTCTTGGCCATTTTGATTCCATTTTGTATCTTGCTGCTTTTTTTTATTTATCAAGACGGACGTGTACGGCATTTGCAGTGTGTAGTGGTATTCAGCATGAAAGCTTGGCCTGTGAAGCACAAGAAAAAACACAGCCAAATCTCATGCACAAAAGAAAGGCCTTGACAAACCATGACAAACCTGTGGAATTTCATTCGTGCTGGACAGCGCAAAGGATTCGCTGTCTCATGTCGGTTTCTGTGGATAGTCCCGAATTTGGTCACTTCGACATCCCGTTGACTGCTTCGAGCACCGCTGCTGACATTATTTTACTGCTACGTGAGCGTTTGCCAGACAGTCCATGGCATGGGAACAAGTTGCTGTCAAGTGGGGTCTGCCAGCTACAACGCGATGACGTTGTGGAGGCAACCCGCCACAGCACATTGGTCTTGGCAAACTACACAGAGATCAGCAACCAGGAGACAAACATGCCAAATCCTCACTAGCCAATGGCCAATCACGATTTAGAATCTATATGCCAACAATACTCGTACCAACAAATACCACCAAATACCAACAAACACCAACAAATGCAGCAGTGTGATGAATCGATTCAATTTCAGTGTTTTTGGATTTAGTGGTTTCAACATACCCTGGACACTGGTGGCTTGTAAAACGTATACTTGCTCCTGACTTAAATGGGGGGAAGGAACTGCATTGAGAACTTGTGAAGCAAAGGCGAGAGTACCAATAGATTGCAGGCCCATGATTCCACCTTTGAGGGTGCTGCACAATGCTTTTCGAATTCCTTTCCAATTTCATTGCATTTGTTGGTGCGCCCCACGCACGTCGGAGGAGGCTTTCCGCATTGAAGATACTGCAGAGCGAGGGATCACTCGCGAGCAATTGGCAAAAATCGTTGCTTTCATCTCCAAGATGGCTGACAGATGGTGCGAAACGTTCGGAGAACAGCGTGGGACAAGGCTGCAGTTTGAGACGTTCAACTTGTATCATGCGAATCATTGGATCATCAAACCAGCCACCGAAGCCTGGATCTGTTGATGATGTGACAACATTTTCCAATTTGAAGAATCTACCGTCTTTCTTTTTTTAATTGGAAACATTATGCAGAATCCCAGGACGGCTATGCGAAAAAGGGCTGCAGCATGGTTGAGATCATGGCGATTCAAGTGCAGAGACCTCACTGGTTTGTGTCACATGCTTGGATTGAGCCTTGGATAGGCAAACTCTCAAGGTTGTTTGAGACCGTGCTATTGCATTGTCTGTCAGCAACATGTTTCTTTTTCCGCTAATAATCCACATTCCCCTAGAAGCCTTGGTTGAGTTTTGGACTTGTTCATTTCGGAACCTCAATAGGATGCTGTATCAACAAGAAATGAACATCCAGCGTAATGATAGATGAAAGTCAAACTATTGCTTTGAAGCACGTCCAGTTTTGTGTTGGGCAGATCTGTGAGGAGCCTGTTTGTAAGTTTCTGGCCTGCTTGGAGCAGCATGCTCTGGTGCGAGAACTCTCAAGCAGTACATTCTATTGGGTCTGTGCATATGCCAACAACCAGCACTGCGTGGAAGAGGATATCAAAAGCAACCCACGCAGCACTTCATTCTACAGAGCTATGCAGATGTCTGAGGGAGTTCTTTTGGTGCTGGATTCAGCTGGAACGACTTTCGAAAGGATTTGGTGCTGCTTCGAGGAAGCCATGGCCACAGCCTTAGAAATTCCTAGAAGTGCGAGAAAGCATCATAGAACGAGAAAAATGTGACATGAACGTGAGTTTTTTTCGTTTGTGAGTTCTGCCTGAAGGGACACGTTTTGATTTGTCCAGCTAGCAGCTAGCTTGTTTCAGTGCAAAATGCGATTTGCATTCATGTGAATGTGGTATAACGAGCAGGAGCAACACCAGGTCATGTTCGTAAAGGCAGGCAATGCTTCAGTAGATAGTGGATCGAAGGAGACACTGGTGAAAACACACCGTATTTTCACCCTAAAAGCGACGAAGGCGATCGAACATCGAGAGGGCAACTGGTCCAGACGACGTTTACTGCTTGATGTGGGAGCCACTGACGCATATGACAAAGCTACTCGACACAGAAGGGGTGGCCTTGTGTGGACATTTCCTTTGCGTGGTCTGCTCGAAAGGTTGAGACCATCGCCTCTACCATAACCCCCATTTCTGCACCATTGTGAACCTTTTCACATCACCTTACTGTAAGCCTGCCTTTCCATATATCTTTATAAAGAGGTGATAAGTGAAAAGTGATGTCTTGACCGTTCCAAATTTGTTGATCTCTGAGGCTCACGTGCTTACTGATGGACTTGCCGGAGCGGAAAGTCGAATGATTGGCATCATCGGCTTGCACCACAAAGCAGCTCGTGAGCGTCACTTTCCTCTGGACCTTTTAGAAAAGGGCTTGAAGGTAAAGATTGAAGAAACTTGCTGCGGGATTGCAAGAAACTCTTGCTGTTTTGACGTTGTTTGGAGAACCGTTTTATGCATTTGGACGATCGATTGAATTGACAAGGTCCATGGTCCATTGTTCATATTGTTCCATTTGCATTGTATGTATGTCACCTCGCACAAATGGCTCATTCTAATTTAAGTTCTCTCTTTTCCAGAAGGTGTCCGAGCCATAATCATGAGTTTGAATGTTGGACAGCTCAAGGAAGCTCATGCCACGCAGAACATCGACAAAGTTCGTATACTGAACAGCATCGCTCTTTCTCGTCTTGGAACTTATGACTTTGAACTTTTGCAGTCGTACCCCGCTGGGGATCCGAATTTCCAGCGAGTAGATGAAGCTCTTGCTTCGCACTTCGCTTTATCCAGCTGGTACGGATTTGTCCTTCAAGGAAGATGCACTGAACTCCTGGCCAGAGCTGTAAAGGCAGACGTTGGTAGAAAGATAGTGCAGCTTTCACTGACTGGGTGCCGGAATTTCTCTGACCATGAGCTTGACGTGCTGATCGAAAGCCTCCCTGCAGAGTTGCGCGTTTTGCGATTAGATCTGGGATTCTCGGGTCTTGAGACTCTGGACATGTTTACATCGACGGTGCAGTGTTTGAAGTCTTTGGTCCAGTTGAAGTTGCGCTTCACAGGTTCCTCGCACTTCAGGACTGCGGCAGGGCTTGGAGTTGCCCTGAGAGAGATGGAGAGCCTCATGTACTTGGAGCTATGGTGCGCTGAGTTGTGAATTTCCAGTCACATTTTTCTTCATCTTGAACCAGCAAAAAATATGATTTTCAGCTTATTGTTTGCTGCGCTTTCTTTTTGATTCCATGGATATGATATTGTTATTTTGATTTTTCTCAGCTGCCACGGTCCAGTGGCTGCAGGTTCATGAACTTGCCATGTTTGGAAGAATTCGGATGCTTCAGCTCTGCTTTGCAGTCTTCTCGAAACCTGGAGAGTTTAGTCATTGATCTCAGTGGATGTGGCCAGATGTCAATCGAAGCGAGGATGGAACTCCACCAATCCATCAAGTCACTGAAATGGTTGCGAGGCGGCTTGGACACGTGGGTGAATATTGAAGGTTTGCCAAAGCGAAGCTGGTTCCCTGGATTTGCTCATGTTGATTTTGGTGGTGTTATCAAAGCGCGTTGTGCCCGGAGCTTCCGTTTCATCTGGCAGCGGATGCGACAACTCAGTGCCCGCCAGCTGCCACATGTCAGCTCAGTGTACTTTGAGCCAACCAGGTTTGGCAGGTCCAGCGCCACAAGCAGTGACGAATCAGCTGGAGAAGATGCAGAGACAGAGACTTACAGCACTCAACAGGAGATGTTTGATGAAGGCAAACCGTTCCCATGCAGCCATCCTTCATGTCATTCGTTTCACTGTTCTGAGAGCGGTTATTGTGAAAGGCACCACTGGGTGGGCCTTGGCAAAAGGATTTGCGTTGCGGTAAATGGTTGGCGCCAGAATGTGGAGCTTAGTGTGCTGATTCTTGCACAAGCAGTGGCAGAGGTAGAGAGCCGATTTCTGTTGGTTCTGCTGGTTCTCAGCCTGTTGCCTGTGGCAAGTTATGCCTTTTCTCAGTCAACAGGAGTGTCTGGCACGTTGATTTGTCTGATTGTTATCTCAATTGCAATTGTCAGCATTGTTTACACCACAGCTCGGCTCAACCGAATGCAAACATTGTCAAAGAAACTTGAAGTTGAATCGGAAGCTTTGTATGCCAAGAATTTGCAGAATGACATGTCCAGGCTTTTTGGTGATTGGGGTAGAGACGATATTGCCCAGCCTCAAGTCGCAAGCTTGACGGAACACTTCGTCGAAGCCAGAAAGCATCTTGACGACTTCGACAAGAATCTGTGCCTCCCACTGCGAGAATTCTTGGAGGAGCACCCCGGTTCCATATCTCGGCAAGATCTACGGCCTGTATTGATGACACTGCCGATGGCACAAGAGGCTGTCGTGCGAGAAGGTGGATGGGACAAAATCTTAGATCTCTTGTATTGCGAGGTACTCTTCGACGATTGGGAGAAAATGCTCAGTGCATGGTGCTTTCTGCAAACGAGAGCAGGGCATGAGTTGCGAGAAATGGAAATTGTGCGTACTCGCGATTCTTTTGCTTCAGTCCAAGCTGGTGTCAGATGTGCCGAGATGGTGGTCAAGATCAACCACTATTTAGCCACGATCCGTTTCCGTGAAGCCTCTTTGACAAAGCTGGAGAATCAAGTGGATGATGTGCACCACTTGGCAGAACAGGTGGGACTTGTGACGGGCAGTTTGCAAGTAGATCCCTTGCTTATGTCTGGGCGACCAGCACAGCAATCACGATTGGTGGTCGGTGTTGTTGCTTTGCTTCGGATCAGCTCATTACTTGCAGCAGTGTACCTTGGGGGGCAATACTTCGTGCGGTACAGTCCACCTTTCATCCGTTCCAAGCTTCCGCAATTGATCCGAGATGCCTTCGCGCTCAAGCAGACAGTTGAGCCCAGTGATGGGACATTGCCGGAGGGCATCACGTCTAATTCTGGCAGATGGTTGGAGGAGAGCCTTTCGCAGCTGTTGCCTTCCATTGTTTTCTCTTTGCCATACCTGGCCTTGATCATCGTCCTCTTGAGCGACTTGCGCCGGTGTCGGTCAGCCAATCTCAAGTTGAGGCCGCTGAAACCCACCCAGCTGCTCTACGAGGAGTATTTTGGCATTGAAGGCAAGCTCTACGGCTTCAAAGTTGCAATGCTGCAGTTATTCACAGTGATGCTGCAGGCTTTCGGAAAGCTCCAAATCATGGGTGGCCTTGTGTCATTTGCATTTCATTCAGCTCCGAAGCATTCAGATCCGTTTGAAGGATGTTTTTGGGCTTTTGTGGGTTTCCTATGTCTGAACAGCATCTATCCAACCATTTTGTTGGGTTTGCCCTCTGTGAAGTGGGTGCGCCGTGGCGCTGCGATGATGGATGCGGTTCTTGATATTGCTTACACCACCACATACCTCGTCATCACCTTGCTGGCCATCTACGAACTACAGCTGGACCAAGCCATTCGAGGAAATTTCGGGGATGAGGTTTGGGTGAACTTCCAAGCAGAGTTGGACCCGGCATTTGCGTTCCCAGCCGACTTTTTTGGTTTCTTTGCTTTCTACTATTCACTTGCACATGTTTGCACAGTTTGCCGTGCCTTGGAGCGCACGGATCGATTGACTTACTGGAAGAAAATGCAAAGCTTACCGAACTCTGCTTCCCAGTCACTGCTGAGCCCATCGAGATTTTCTTGCTCAAAGAGATATCGGATTTGTTGCAAAGCGTTGCATTTTTGCTGCATTGGCTTCGTTTTATGTTGTCTCTGCAATTTTCAATCCATCGTGGTTTCGCAACCTGTTGACACAATTTGTCATGTGAGTATCTTGAAGCCCCGCAACATATTTGTAAAGAGGGGGCATTTTGTTCTCAGCTTAATTGTACTTGCTGCACCTTTTGTGCATCCCAAAGCATACTAATACACCACGTCTTAAGGTGTTGTTCCCCAACAGCATCAACAGCTTTGCGATCTCAGTTAAGGGTTTTGCAGGGTTTTGAAAGGTTTTCCAGCACGTTTCAGGGTTCCCACTTAGGAGTTTCACAGGTCCAGGATTCCGAGGTGCATTCCAAGTATTTCAGGGTTTCCAGGGTTCCAGGATTCCACAGCTGAAAGGTGCTGTTGGTTGCAAGGTGCCATCGGATGGCATAGTTGCAGGAGTCCCAGCAAAGGCACTCGCGAAGTAAAAAAATGGATACCTATGATACCTATGTCTTCAATAGTTGTGTGCCGGAATGGCCCCCTTTCATACCATCGGGCTTTGATGGATGAACTCGAGTTCTTTGTTTCTCCTTGCAACCGCTGCTTAGGTATTCGCCCTGTTTGCTTGTCACGATCATTGCTCTATTGCTTTCAACGCACTTCTACCCGATTCACAAGGATGATTTCGGATGCTTTCCGTGTCGCTGTCAGGAAAAGGACTATGGTGCAAAGCACCTCGCGAACTGCCACCTTGTAGGCGTTCTTTGCCTCAAAGATGTGAGTTTGAACGAGCAAAGCATCACAAGTATTGCGGAGGATGCCTTCGCTTCTTCACGGGGCTTGCAACGGTTGTCGCTCTCTGGGAATCGGCTGTCTGTTTTGCCTCAAAATGTGTTCTCCCCGTTGGAGAGCCTGCAACTCTTGGACCTGGGCCGCTTGGGTTTGCAACAGGTGGAGTCAGACACGTTCAGCGGCTTG